GGGTCAAATATACGTGTTGAATACACACACACACACACACACACACACACACACACACACATCATTCATTTTAACATTGTATTGATCTTCTGGAATATATACACACACAGAGCTTTGTATCCTTTTCCGTTATCATTGCCATCATCATCACCATCAGCTGCAGCAGCTGTAGTATCGGTATCAGCATCATCAATATCATGATAATGATGATTTATCCCATTCTCAGTATAAACCAATCTTTGTGCTAAGTACCTTAGATGCATTTGTTCCTTTAATTGTCAAATGCTGTGAGGCAGATACTCCTACTATTATTATATTACAGATATGAACACTGAGGTTCAAACAGGTGCAGTAACTTGTGTCTGGCTCCAGAGCTATACTATTAGCCACTAAAACGCATGGTCTCTGTCTTAGTTTCTTAGGGCTGCCATAACAAATTACTACAAACTGGCTGGCTTAAAACAGCAGAAATTTATTCTTTCACGGGTCAAGAGGCCAGAAGTCTGAAATCAAGGCGTTGGCAGGCTTGGTTCCTTCTGGAGGTTCTGAGAGAGAATCTGTTCCATGCCTCTCTCCTAGCTTCTGGTGGTTGCCAGCAATCCTTGGCTTTTAGACACATCCCTCCAATCTCTGCCTCCATCTTCACATCGCCTACTTCTCTATGTCTCTGGGCGTCTCTCTGTTCCTTTCATTTTGTTATGAGAACACCAGTCATTGGATTTAGGACTTAACTGAAGTCAGTATGATCTCACTTATTCTTTATCTTGATTGCATCTTTAAAGACTTTATTTCCAAATAAGGTCCCATTCTGAGGTTCTGGTAGACATGAATTTTGGGGGAACATTTTTTAACCCACTACTGCTTCCTGTACTGTATTTACCCAAAGAGCTCCCATGTTATTACGCAACTTCATGAACACTACCGTTGAATGGATGCACAATATTCTCTTTCCCTATTGGGTGGCGTTTAGGTTGGAGAGGGCTGCAGCTGGCACATAGCATCTTGGTGCACATCGCACATAGGTAGGTGCGCCCTTCTCTGGGCTGACTGAGGTGTCTAGCTCGGTGAGCTGAGCAGTGGCTGGGTTTCAGCCTCTGCTAACCTGCTTTGTCAGTCACCTTTGTGCAGGGCACGACCTGCATGCTGAACATGGTGGCCCAGATCTGAGAGAATGGAACCTGGGGTGGGTTTATTTCTGTTTTAGAATATGCAAGAAGCTCGATTTTGCATTTGGCTTTTCTTTTCTGTTTCAAAGTAGGAAGCACACAATGTCTGAACTGAGACAGGCCCTAGAGATCTTCTGCTTCAAATGCCTCAATTATACAGGAGGAGAAGATAATTACAATATTCTATATTAATCTGTAGTTTATTGATTCACAAAACATAGTTAAAATCTATTATTTTTCAGTCTCAGGAAACAGAGATCCAGAAATTGACTAACTTTGCTGCAGGCCAGGATAATATCTCAGATCTCTCGATTTTCCTCAGTACTCTCGATTGCATCATGCTGATTCAAGATGAGCCCTGCTTTCTATTGTGCATCCTAGCTGTGGCATAACCATTATCTACAAATGTATATTAGCAGGGACATATTCATCCTTTTATGTCTTTTTCTAACTTCTTTTGAAGCTACGTAAACATCTCTTCCTCTCTTTTGAAATATGCTTTGTTGAATATTTTTTGACTGGATAAAATAAATTGTGAGTACAACCTTCTTAAATTAAAATGACCACCTTTCTGTGTATTTTTATAAATATTCATCTGTTACCACAGTACTTTGGTTGCTGTGACGAGCCTGATATTTTAATAGCACATATTTCAAGGGGCAGATGAGGAAACATACAGCATCTTGTTACTCTGAAATTCAAATAACTTTTTTGAATGCTTATTTTTTTAGTTTTGTGGAGGAAAAGTGCAATTAATTTTGCAAGGTCTAAAATAAATGAAAATAAATAAGAATTCAAGTCCAGAGTCTAATTAGTAGACCAAAATTCTTAGCATTTGCTTTCTCCTCAGATAGTATCGTGGTTTCTTGACGGTTGACAACACACCCGATTTTTCTTTGTTTCTCGGGGTTTAACACAATGCCAACCGCAGACTTGGCAACTAATCAATTCATGTTGATTGAATGAATGGAATCACCACCATCTCTCCTTGTCCATTCTGCTCTGCTTACCCTAACTATCCATTCTCTGAACACTCTACACCCCTTCACATCTCCTTGCCTTGGGTATGAATGACTTGTCTCCAGTGATCCCCTTGCCAAGTTCCTACTCATCTTTTAAGACCCAGCTCAAATGTCACATCCCTGTGAAGCATTTCTCAAGGGCAAGATGATGCCTCATTCATCTCTATGTCCCCAGCACCTGGCATAGAGTCAAAGTTAACTTAATGTGTATTGAATGAACAAGTGAATGAACAGAAGGGACAGAGCCAGTATCCCACAGCAGCTAAGAACACGGGCTATGGTCTGACAAACCTGGATTCATAGCCCTGCTTCTTGACTTACAAGAAGTGTGACCTTGGTCAGCTTACTTCATCACTCTGAGACTTTGTTTCCTTAGTTGTAAAATGAAGATAACGATAGCATGTGACTCAGAGGGTTCTTGTGAAAATAAAATGAGATCCTGTATATAAAATCTTCACCTAATACGTGCTAAATGATAGTCAATGTTGATAAAATTGTCCCATGGGTGTCCTTTGATTGCGCTGGAGAGCTTGCGGTGTGGCTGAATCTGGCTGACCACTGGGTGATCACACTAGACAGAAATATTTTGGTTGGGGAACCATGGAACTGTCATGGCCACCACCCCATTTTCCTTCCAAACTAAATGGAGTAAAACTACAAAAAAAGCGGACTCCAACTAACTAGAAAACACTGGTTGACTAGAATTTCCCCTGACATTTGAGTTTTAGAAGAAAGAGACAAATCACAAAAAAGAAACTAATATAAGGGTTTTTAAAAATATGGAAAACCTTGCAAGTAATTTCTAGGCGATGACCTTAGAACTACCTTCAGCCTAAACTTCTGTACCTTTGCACAGGGCACGTGATGGGGATTGAATTCAGCCTAGAGACTGGTGATTTGGCCTAACATCGTTTAAAAAATTTTGAAATGGATGTCAACATGGAAAAAACAAACCTATTATGAAAATTTCCAAATACACACTAATTTAGAGCAATTAGTCTAATGAATCGCCATGTAATTATTATCCAGCTTCAATAATTAGCAATACTCCGACATTCTGTTTCATCCTTTGGTCCTTTTTGTTGGTTTGTTTTGCTAGAATATTTAAAAGCCAATACCAGATATCATATCATTTCACTAATAAATATTTCAGTGTGTATCTCTACCAGATAAAAAATGAAAAAATATAACTATGATTCAGTATCACAACCAACAAAATTAAAAGTAATTTCTTAATGTGGTCTAAAACTCACTCTGGGTTCAGTTTTCCCCAATTGTATCAGTATCTGTTGTTTTGCTTGAATCAGAATCCAAACACAGTCCACAATCTAACTTTTGTGGCTACCTGTCTTAAGTCTCTTAATTTGTAACAGTTCCCCTCTCTTGTCTCCATGCCATTTACTTCACTAAGAATTTTTAAATAGACAAATATTTCAGAAAAACATGGATTTGTGGTTTCTTTTGAAAAAATAGGAATATCTGGCAGCACTGGCTTACAATCCCCTAAGGCAACATTTGGCTGGAGCACATTAGAGGCCGCAGTCTTCAGACTGTGCAAACGCCTCCAGATCTCCAAAGTCCACACCAGTCCCTATTGCACCAACCAGCTAACTCATTTACATTACCTACCCAGCCCCCGTGGGCATTGTGCCGGCCACCTCTGACCTACAGATTTACCTGTTGGGCAATGGGAACCGAAACCTGAGGGATGAACTTCAAGTCCAAAAACATTCTTAGTCATTAAGCAAATGTTCACTTTTGCGCACTATATCACTTAGGTAGGAATGTAAGCTGAAATGTTTAAGTTTCCGGGCAAGAACTAAATCAACAAAAGATTTTTAACAATTCTAAATTAGCCTCACGCTTTCTGAATTGGTATCTCTCTTTTCCTGAACATTTAAGTTAATCTGCTTTACAGCCTTCCATTCTGGAAATATCTTTTTCACCCATGTGGAAGTTTGATCCTACAAAGGCCACTGGACAAAGTGTCACAAGAGCCACACTTGAGTCTTGGTCCTCTGTGACAAGTGGGCCACCATTTTACCTCCCTGAGACACCTTGCAGAGTGGAGGTAATAACAGCTTAATTCTGAGGGTTGTTGTGAAGTTCAAAAAAGGTAACAGATGTGAAATTAGTCTGTAAACTGTACAGCTCTACACTTGAACAAGGTATTCCTATGCATAAGGATGTGTTGAATTACGCATCACATCCTCTTTCACACCTCCGTGCACTTACTCTGCTGTTCCCTCTCCCTAGATGCCCTTAAGAATTAATCGCTAGTCATCTGTGGTCCCCAAACACTTTATGCCTGTTTCTTTATAACATTTGTCACGCTGTATTAAAGCCATTTGTCCACATCTTGCAGATTCTGAGAGTAAACTGCAGTTTGTTCACTGCTTGGCACACAGCAGACTCTCAGTAGATGTCTATTGAATTGGGTTGGAGTGATTTGAATAATTATTACGTGTGCACCTGTCTTGAAGGACAAAGTCTATTATTTCTATACAGTTCTTCATGTTTACCCTCTGGTAACTGACCAGTCTTGGATCTTGTTAAAAGCTTATGATGAAGATGACGATGGTGAAATATTCATAAAAAGAGAGTTTTGTATTTTTAATTGAAGTTAAATGATTGGACTTCTTGGGTCTATTACTAGTGATTTAATCTTATTGACAATGAAAGAACCTAAATGTGAAATGCCTATCATTAAAATTTTTTTTCTTGCTGGAGAAAACTTAAGATCTTAGTCATTGTTCTTGGCCCCAGTTACCTGGTTCTCTTCATTAACTTAGGGCTTCTTACTCTGTTACAGCTGGTTTGCTGTCCACCCAGTCAGCATGAACAACAGCAATCATCTTGTAAATAGTGACAATATGGGCTATGCATCTTACCTGTTTGAGCAAGAAAAGAACAAAGGCTACCTACCCGGAGAGGTGAGAATTTATGTTGTTGAAAACTTCATCTTAATTCACTGAGTGTCATCATTCACACAATGTTCAGAATAGCTGATTCAAATCTTCAGAGTAAAATGTCATCATGGACGTCACATTGATATGCTTGGATAGTAAGAATTCTCCAACCTCCCTAATAGGAAAAGAAAATGTAAAAATGACTAATAAATTTTATGTCAAATACTACTTATATTGATGGCTTCATAAAGTTACAAATAGTTGGATAAGGAAGGGCAAGTTAAAGATTTTTGTAATATATAATAGTTTTTGATCAATTTGGGAATATGATAAACTGTGTTGATATTTACTTTTGTTTTCAGAGCTGTAAAAGTATTAAGCACCTTCTTGGTGGTGTCAGAATCTGAATGACAGGTGATGAGTCCTTTTCACTGGTCCGACTTCCCTCTTAATGGTGAATTATCTTTCGAGGACTTTGTTCTACTTTCCTGCAATAAGGCCTAAGTCAGAGACAACCCTAATGCATTGGACTTGTTTTTGTAACTTTGAAATGCAGTGACGGATGGGATCAGAGATGGGGTGCCAGGAACCCAGTCCCTGTACTCCAGGCAGCTCCTCAGCTCTGTGTAAATTACTGATTACAGATAGATGAGTGGGAAGAGAGAGCCTGCTCTGCTTGACCCCAGTGTCCAAGCCCCAAATGCAGAGAAATATATGATGGGATGAGAGTCCCAGGCCCTTGCCTAGACTAAATGATCCGTTATAAAGATATTAGCCCTATGAACATTTGGTCTGATCTTTAGCTCCTTTGTTGACAAAACTCTATTTTTTCATTTTAGCCTGCATTTTAGGGAAAAGAAAGGAGGTTCCCATTTATGATCACTGGCTGGGTGCTAGGCACATTGAGATAAACTATCTTTTCAGAACAAAAAAAGACACATGATCTCTGATACTTGCTTATCTCTTTCCCTAAGAAAATTTAAGAGTTTTAAGGTAGAATGGTAGACCAGTTGGGTTGAGGTTAAAGCTTCATACTCCTCTTTAAAGGTTATATGTTGTTACTTCAGATGGAAGAGTATAGAAAAGATACATGGAGGGGCTGGTCTGGATAGTGGATGCTATATTTAGGTTCAGTCCTGCAACAGGAAAATCTGGGTTGACTTTTTTCTTCTTGAGTCAATAGTTTTTTTATTTTTAAAGGGCAAATGGATCTCTGAGCTCCAGGTACACCACCAGAGACTAGACTGAATTTCAGCCTTTTATAATTTGTTGTTGCACATTGGGTTTCTTGTCAAAATGTTTCTGTTTGAGGCACAAATTTGAAACTCTCCAACTTGAAACAGTTTTATTGGTAGTTGATATCATGAGTAATAACACGTATGCCGACTGTGATGTGAGCCTTTTGAGAAAAAAAAATTCTTGGAATATTGTACATCCTTCTTTTATTGTATATAAATGATTTTGAATAGTTCACCAGAGTGGATTGAGTTTGCATTTTTAATGGAAATCATTATGAGAAATGAAACAGAATAAAAGGCAACTGGATGTTTCTTTTGGCAGGGATCGTACGTAGCAGCTTTTGCTTCATCAAACCTGGGAGATGTGTCCCCAAATACTCTTGGCCCGCATTGCATCAATACAGGAGAGTCTTGTGACAACCCCAATAGCTCTTGTCCTATTGGAGGGGTAGGTAATTATGACATGAAATCTTTGTTTTTGCATCTCATGTACATTTTATATTTAAATATTCATTATTTACTTTCAAATATGTTTTCCCCAAGTATACACTGGCCTACTCATCTCTAGCATTTGCTCTTCTCAAAAGCATCCACTAAATTTTCATTGGATAAAATTATAGTTTTCCGTTTGATTGACTGTTAAGTGTTTTGAATGGTGAGACAATTTAGTAAATGTCAGAGATTAAATAGCCTTCCCCAAACTTGAACAGTCTGAAACGTTTTGCCTTGGCATTTCTGAAGTCACATGTTCGTACCAAAAACTGCCTGCCTGAGACATTTCTCACTGATTATGAAGTCTATAGAGGTTTTTTTTTAAACATAAAATTAAATTTTTTCCCTTTCTTTTAAAATTTCAAACAAAAAAATCTTGCTGTAAAAACTTGAAAAAAACACAGAAGCATAGAGAATAGTTAGAAGTAAAATGCTCTATTCATCTCCCTCCGCTCTACCCTCTCTCCTTGCCAGAAGCACCACCCTCACACCTCTTCCTATGTATTTGTGCATTCACGAATGAAAATTTATGACTTATTTACTCATAATTTTTTATTGATCTTGGACTTGAGTTTTCCACCTAATTTGTCTTAAAGATCTTTTTATGACCATACATAGGTCTGCGTGGTAAATTTTAAAGACAACAACTAAGGCCGTACCATCATTTATTTAACTGTTTCCCCCGCATGTTCATTTAGATTTTTTTCAACTTTGACATGAACAGCAGATACTAGTTTCTGGGTTCTTGCTCTTTGTGTTGATAGAACATTTCACCTGTGTTATCAGTTTTAGTCAACATTGTTTCTCGGCTATTTGTTCTATCCTAGTCAGCCCCACTCAATTAGCAATACAGTTTTAGCAATTACACTTTTATATTATATATTACTATTTTTATATAGAAAGTCTTCCTTGTTACCTTTCATTTGCAAAATTTTCACACATTATTGATTCACATTACATTTTAAGATTACTTGTTAAATTCCAAAATTCATAGATAAAATGGTTAAATAAATTATGATACTTTCTTTTCAATAGAATATTATGCCTCCATTTAATGTCTTGTTGGAATACTTAATGGGAGAAAAAGCTCATAATACACAATTCTGGGTAAGAAAATCAGGATTTAATATTGCATATTTATTATGATTGTGGTTTTGAAAATAAATGTATCAGTAAAAATGCAAAGTGAAACACACTGAATTGTTAACCATTTGGCACTGTTATGGGTGGTTTTTACACTATTTGTTTTTTACTTTATTATTTTTATTCTATTTATGCATTTTTGTATTTTTTCTACAATGAACATACTTTACTTTATAATCAGAAAAAATTACAACAAAAATCATAGCCCCTGCCACAACAGAATTCTGTTTCTCTCCATTTCCCTCATTTTTGCAAGATGGCAGTCAGCAGTGAGGAAAGTGTATGCTTTTTTCCCGCTTATACAATGGAAGAGAGAGAACCTTTCCTTCAACCACGGAATAAACGTTCTCTTCAGGCTGATTGGGTCAGTTTTTGTCACATGCCCATCCCTGGACCAAAGCAGTTGCTGAGGGAATGGTACGTGTTGATTGGCTAAAGCCTGACCAGTCTTTGGCAAGGCCTAGGGAATTGCCATGATCGCCTTAGACTTACCTGGAACCAGGAATGGGATCATTGACTGCAAGGGGAGAGACGGCTTTCTGATCAAAACCAGGATTCGCTTAAGATAAAGGAAAATGGGCAAACATTGCCATGTCTTCTTCAAGGTGGTTTCCATAAAAAGAATTTCTTAAATTTAGAAAATACCTTTAGTGTTTTTTTAAAAAGTGATATATATTTCTTAAAAACTCAAACAATATTGGAAACAAACTTATGTAAAGGAGTACCCCCTCCCCACAGTTAGCCTCACAACATTTTAATGCACATCCTTCCAGACAGCTTTTTATGCCTCCACGCGCATATATGCATGTACAGTTTGATGCAAATGGGGTCATACTGTAATGCTGTTCTATAACCTGCTTCCTTATTTCCAGTAAATATACTTTAAATATCATTTAAACTAACTCCATAATTTTCAATTTTAAGTATTATAATTCAGTTAGCCAATCTCCTACTGATGAGCGTTTTCTTTCCCTCCTTCCTTTCTTACTTCACACCCTCTCTCGGTTCTTTTTTGCTTCTGTTTGTGTAAGCATGCTCTGATCACCATGCTTGTCATACATATTTTCACATGTGTATGAGTTTCACCTTAGGACAAATTCTTAAAAATGAGTTTGCTGTCAAAGAGAAAGTATCTCTAATATACACTACACATCACCCAAATGCTCTCAGTCACATTTCCACCCACAGTGCATGAGTGACAATTTCTCCAAGCTCTCACCAACGCCACGTTCGTTAGTCCACCAGGTTTTGTCAACACACTATGCAAAGAGTTCTCTGTTTATAGTTTAAGCTTACATTTAATTATTCGTGAGATTGAACGTATTTTAATATTGAATGGCCATTTACATTTCCTTTTGTTTGTGAATTACCTTTTCATCAGTATTCCATGGTGTATCTTTTACGATGCATTTTTTGTTTTGCTCTTATTTTTTTTCCCACTCTATTGAGATGTAAGTGACATATAACATAGTATAAGGTTAAGGTGTACCATGTGATGATTTTGACACACATAAAGGATGCCTTTTACTGCAAATAAGAGAAAACCCAATTCAATATGGATGGATCAAAAGGTATTAATATGGTTTTTTCTTATTTATTTATATATATGAATATAATAAATATATTAAATAAGAATGTATAATAATATATTAAAATCTTTGTCATATACAGGGCAAACTCATCTCCCTGCCATTTTTCAGTTGTATTTCAGCCTTAATTATGCTTTTTTATCCCCATATGGATGGTTAAAATGTTTAAACTGTCAAATTTATTAAGCCTGTTCTATATAATTTTTAGACAGGTCTTCCACACTCAGAGTTTACAATATATTCCCTCATATTTTCTTTTAATATTTCTTTGGTTCTAGTTATAATATTTGAGTATCTGATCAATCTCAATTTTTTCTGAGGTAAGAAGTAAGGTATAGAGCCAGGTTTATTTACTGATTTTTTTTTCCAGAGGGTCAGCTGGTTGTTCCAATATAATTTTAACTGAGTTTCAGTTTAAGACGATCATGAGCAAGAGCCATAGGCAGGAACAAGCAAGTAGAAAGACGTGCAGCACCTGGAGCGCCTTGGCTGTAAGTCTCGGCTCCGACATTAGCGGCCTGCAGAATCTCTGAGCAATTCTCTAACCCACCTGAGCCTTGGTTTCCTTATTTTTAAAAGTATGGTGCTACAACAGATGATTTCTAAAGACATTCGCTGCTCCAATTCCATGAACGATTTTGTTTTTCATAATCTGTGAATTGAGAGACTATCTGAACAGAAATGCCAGAATGTGGCTTAAAAAAAAAATCTATTTGCTTAGATTCACTTGTAATTTTCCATTCCTTAAAATAACTGCTTATTTCACCAAGAACACATCTTGTCTCATTTTGTCCCAGCCTAACATGTGCATTGCTATGGGACCTGGACAGGATATGTTCGACAGCACACAAATTATAGGACAGATCATATATCAGAAAGCAAAGGTAAGCCATGGGCCCAGCTTCTTTCATCTTCATTTAAAATTGTTCTTTAAAATCCACGGGCATTGTTCGTTAGGGAGTTGATCATTGTAATGCAGATAGCAATAGCTCTGGCTGCCAGAGGAGACCGGAAGACGGACATGGATACATGTCAGCAAGGAAGGCTGCTTTCACAAGCCACACAAGAACCTCTCCCTGACTGCTTGGTCTGACTTCTTAGAGGAAGCACATTTAAAACCAAGTAATCAGGAAAACATTCTATTTCAGCCACAGCACTTGCTTTAGATAGTGAGATGATCCAGAGATTGTAAGGTTTTCAGTTAACATAGTGTCAGATATGAACAGACCTATCCAAATTCTTGGAAGTCTCTAAGGCCTTTGCCTGCCAAGTCACCTGACCATTTCTTAACTTTTCCTTCAGTGTCAGGGTAAAGCTGAGTGGCACAACTCCCAGCTCTAGCAATTTGGATTCAAATGAGTTCCTAGCCTTCTTCAACAGGGCAAAGATCATCCATCTTGTACTTTATTCTTTTTAAAACATTTTTTGATGAAGAGAGAATCTGGTCTCCAGGAAGATTACTATGAATCGCTCTACCCTCCTCCGTCTCCTAAATTTTGTTTTCCACTTTGCTCCTATATGCTGTATAATCTCCAATGGAGACAGATTTCTGACTGAAATGGCAAAGGATGACCTCGAGCTGAGATAAAGATAATTACATCTCTTCCTTTTTATAGCTTACTACTCCCTGTGCGTGCACGTGTATGTATGCGTGCGTGTTTAAGTAAATATTTTGTTCCAAGTGTTCTAAAATGTTTCAGGAGCAATTAAGGAAGCGCAAAATCACCTTTAAAAACATCAGACACCAGCCAGGCTAATTGCTGCAGTTTCTCCTTAATTACTGTGGTATTATCAGTAGATTGTTCTAAATTAACAGATTCTATTTAGGGTGTACACCCGTGACACAATTTGGTGTCAGAAATTTTACCGGTCTGGGTCTGGGAGCCATAGAGATTTGTCCCACATTCTGAATTTTCTTCTCACCAAGGCACAACTTCCCTTGGAGGAGGCGGGCTGTAGCTGTTGTTACTGATGGCTTATCTTGAGAGCTCTCGTGTGGCTGTTGAAACTGGGATGTGGGGGTATAATGGAAATGACTTAGATGTCAGGCAAAGGGACTTATGCTGAAGCAGGATTTGTTTATATTGTATGATATAGATCAATAAAAACAAACGTTTCTAAACATATTTTGACTCACATTTCTCATAAGATTGAAAAAGCATCAATTGACTGTATTAAAAAAAAAAGACATCAAAAGGTGGACTGTGGGTGTGGAAGCTCATGCAGATTAATTGGGGCCTGCAGTCATTCAAGACACCCCTTGGGACCAGCCCTGCTAGAAGACTCAAGATTCTGAGAGGGAAAACTCCATGAGAACACCCAAGGATACATTCTCCTTCTGGGAAAGAAAGTAATTTGGCCTGCCTACTCCTAATCTTGAATTTTCTTGACTGTCTTTCAAGTGAGATTGGGACCTTTTGTGCACAGCCTGTAACACTAGAATTTCATATTTGTGGGGAATCAACACAGGTCAACAGTCTCAAGACCTTCAAGCTTCTGGGAAGCAGTTGGGGTTGGTAGAGAGATCCACATGCGTAGTGGCTATTTCTAAGCAGCCAGCAAAACAAAACATGGCTGCGAGGATGCTTTTCCAAATTGGTACTTATTGGGTACAATTGGTGGTATTCATTTACCCTTTTTGCTTATAACAGTAAGCCTGTGTGGATTTTCTAGGAACTGTATGCCTCTGCCTCCCAAGAAGTTACTGGACCATTAGCTTCAGCTCATCAGTGGGTGAATATGACGGATGTCACCGTCTGGCTCAATTCCACACACACCGTAAGTGTCGCCAAGTCACACTGATTATACAACGAGGGTAAAGCTCTGGGCTGATTTCGTGATTTACTTGACATTCAAGTTCTGTTTTGTTTTGAAAACCATTCCCATAGGCGAAAACGTGTAAACCAGCACTGGGCTACAGTTTTGCTGCTGGCACCATCGATGGAGTTGGAGGCCTCAATTTTTCGCAGGGTGAGGTGAAGTCTGATGAAAGCGGTGGTTCCAGGTTCTGAAGCTTCAGAATTCTGTTCCCTAAGAAGGTTTAATGGCAGCCAATACAATTGCTATATTATTTTTAAACGCGAGGGTGTGCGGGTCTTCCAGGTTTGTACATGACAGCCAGATTGCCCAGGGATAGGTGTTTTTAATAACTTAGCCTTCCACTGATTCAAATAGGATCGGACAAATTCTCTCGGCATTTCAATCTACAGATGTATAATTTTAAATTGGGCTGGGACTGGGGTGGAGTGGAGGGTGTGCGGAGTGGGATCGTAGTTGTACCTTCAACGATAGGAGTCGTTGGTTATTAGTGTCTCTTTCCCTGGTTCCTTTATTGGAATCAAAGTTCCTCAGGGCAGAAGCCTTTAGGAGCTTAAAGTGTGTGGTCCAAGGTCATCTCTCTGTGTGTATTTCCACAAACTTATAGCTGATTATTATAAGTTTTATACTTTTATCCTGATTATAACTATAATAATATCCATTGTAAAGTAGAGAAAGTGGAACAAATGGGAGAGTATCACCTACAGGCAACATTTTGGCTTATTTCATTCTTGTCTTTTATATATGTATATTTTGTAAACATTAATTTAAAAAATAATGAATATAGTTGCAATTTAATATATTCAGCATCATCTTTCCTGGTAGTATTTCATCCAGTTTGGTCTAATATTGTAAACCAATAATTTTTTAACAGGTTTATTGAGCTATAATTCACGTACCATACAATACGCCCATTTAAAGTGTACAATTTCATGGTTTTTAGTATATTCACAGATCTATGCAATCATCACTACATTCAGTTTTAGAATGTTTTCATCACCTCGAAAACAAGCCCCGTACTTTTTAGCTGTCACAGCCCCCCAGTCCCCATGTCCCACAGACCTAAGTGACCACTAATCCTTCTGTCTGTATATTTTCTTAACATGGACATTTCCTATAAATGGATTCATAAAATATGTGACATTTTGTGTTGACTTCTTTCAATTAGTATCATGTTTTAAGGTTCATCCATGTTGTAGCAGATATCAATACTTCATTCCTTTTTATGGCTGAATAATATTTCACTGTGTGGTTATACCATGTTTTGTTTATGTGTCCCTCAGTTCGTGAACATTTCAGTTATTCCACTTTTTGGCTATTATGAATAATGCTGCTATAAATATTGATGTACAAGTTTTTGTGTGGGCATGTGATTTTGTTTCCGCTCTCGGGTGTACACCTAGAAGACGAATCACTGGATCACATGGTAACTCTATGTTTAATCATTTGAAGAATTGCCAGACTATTTCCAAAATGGCTGCACCATTTTATGTTCCTACCAGCACTTCTGAGGGTTCTGATTTCTCCGCATCCTCACCAATACTTGTTATTATCTGACTTTTTGATTCTAGCCACTCTAGTGGGTGTGGAGTGATATTTCATTGCATGGTTTTGATTTGCATTTCCCTGATGATTAATGATGTTGAGAATTTTTTCAAGTGCTTATTGGCCATTTGTGTGTCTTCCTTAGAGAAATGTCTATTCATATATTTTTCTCATTTTTTTTTGTGAGGAAGATTGGCCCTGAGCTAACTTCTGTGCCAATCTTCCTCTACTTTATATGTGGGATGTGCCACCACAGTATGGCTTGACAAGCCGTGTATAGGTCCACACTTGGACCTGAACCCGTGAACCCAAGGCTGCCAAAGCGGAGTGCGTGAACTTAATCACCATGCCACTGAGCCAGCCCCATTTTTCTCATTTTTAAATTGGGCTATTTGTCTTTTTATTGTTGAGTTGTAAGACTTCTTTATGTATTCTGTGTACAAGTGCTTTATCAGATGTATTATTTGCAAATATTTTCTCCTTTTCTATTGGTTGTGTTTTCACTTTCTCTATTGTGTCCTTTGAAGCATCAAAGGTTTTAATTTTGCTGAAGTCAAAACAATCCATTTTTTTCATTTGTTGCTCATGCTTTTGGTGTCTTTTCTGAGACTCTTTTGCTAAATCTGATGTCATGAAGATTTACCCTATTTTCTTCTAAGAGTTTTATAGTTTTAGCTCTTACATTTAGGTCTTTGATCCACTTTGATTTGACTTTTATATATGCTATGAGGTGAGGGTCCAACTTCATTCTTTTGCCTGTGGCTGTTATTCCAGGACCATTTGTTGAAAGACTATTTTTACCCATTGAATGGCCTTGGCACACATTGAAAATCAGTTGACCACAGACACTTGGTTTTATTTCTGGATTCCCAGTTCTATTCTGAGCTATCCTTGTGCTGGTATCACCCTTTCTTGATTTCTGTTGCTTTGTAGTAAGTTTTGAAATCAGGATGTGTGAGTCCTCCTACTTTGTTCTTCTTCTTCAAGATTGTTTTGGCTATTCTGAGTCCTTTGCAATTCCATATGAATTTTAGAATCAGCTTGTCAATTTCTAGAAAGAAGTCAGCTGAGCTTCTAATAGGGATTGCATTGAGTCTGTAGGTTGAATTGAGGAGTACTGCAATATTAACAATTTTAAGTCTTCTGATCTGTGAACATAGATATTTTTTCATTTATCTAGACCTTTAATTTCTTTCAACAATGTTTTATAGTTTTCAGAATATAAGTTTTGTACTTCTTTTGTTAAATTCATTTCTAAGTATTTTATTCTTTCTGATTTTATTGTAAATGGAATTGTTTTCTTAGTTTTATTTTTGGATTGTTCATTGCAAATGCATAGAAATACAACTGACTGTGTATTTTGAGCTTGTATCCTGTGATCTTGCTGAACTCATTTATTAATTCTAATAGTTTTTTAGTGAATTAAGGTTTTTATATACAAGATCATGTAATATGCAAATAGCAATAGTTTTACTTCTTCCTTTCCAGTCTGGATGCCTTTTATTTCTTTTTCTTGCCTAATTGCCCTGGCTACAATCTCTACTACAATGTCAAATAGAAGTCTCAAGAGTGAACATCTTTGTGCTGTTCCTAATAATAGGGGGAAAGCATTCAGTTGCTCATTATTAAGTATGATGTTAGTTGTGGGTTTTTCTTTTTTTTTTTGTTAAAGATTTTATTTTTTTCCTTTTTCTCCCCAAAGCCCCCCGGTACATAGTTGTATATTCTTAGTTGTGGGTCCTTCTAGTTGTGGTATGTGGGACGCTGCCTCAGCGTGGCTTGATGAGCAGTGCCATGTCCGCACCCAGGATTCGAACCAACGAAACACTGGGCCGCCTGCAGCGGAGCGCGCGAACTTAACCACTCGGCCACGGGACCAGCCCCCTAGTTGTGGGTTTTTCATACATGCCCTGTGTCAGGTTGAAGATGCCATTTTCTATTCCTGCTTTGTTGAGCATTATCATGAAATGTTATTATATTTTTGTCAAATGCTTTTTCTGTGTCTATTGAGATGATCATGTGATTTTTGTTTTTTTATTCTATTGATATGATTTATTCCATTGATTTTTTGGATCAATTAAACCAATCTTGTATTCCAGGGATAAATCCCAGTTGGTCATGGTGCATAATTCTGTTTATATATTACAGGACTCAGTTTGCTAGTATTTTTTTGTGGATGTTTATGTCTATATTCATAAGAGATATTTATCTGTAGTTTTCTTTTCTTGTGATGTCTTATCTGCTTTTGTATCAGAATAATATTGGCATCAAAGAATGAGTTGGGAAGTGTTCCCTCTTCTATTTTTTTGGAAGACTTTTTGAAGAGTTGGTGTTTATTCTTCTTTAGATGTTTGGTAGAATATAGCAGTGAAGCCATCTGAGCTAGGCAATTCTTTGTGGGTAGTTTTAAAATTGTTTTTATTACTAACTAAATATCTTTACTTTTTATAGACCTATTCAGATTGTTTAGTTCTTCTTAAGTCAGCTTTGGTAGTTTGTGTCTTTCCAGAAATTTGTTCATTTCATCTAAATTTCTAATTTATTGGCATACAATTTCTCATAGCATTCCTTTATAATCTTTTCTATTTCTTTAAGATCAGTAGTGACATCTGCTTTCATTTCTGATTCTAATAATTTGAGTCTTTTATTTTTCTTGGTCAATCTAGCTAAAGGTTTGTTGATTTTGTTGATTTTTTTCTTTTTTTTGGCATAAGAGTAATTTAATTTCATTAAACATAGTGAAATAAATATTTCCTGTTAATCCAGTTTTACCATCTAGTGTAAAAAATGCAGTTATTTTCCATCATAGAAATGTTTAGTCTCAGATTACACATTTGAAGTAATGAGGTTGCAGTTTCCCTGTAGGTTATTTTTCTATGGCTGCAATTTAACTGATGTTGAATTACTGCAAACTAAAAACTAACTCTGTCCTCTCAAAAACATTTTTTTTCCTACCCTCTCATCTTTATGTTTAAATCGTCATGTGTATTACATCCTATAGGCTTTGAAAACCACAACAGACAATGTTATGAAATCTGCTTTCAGCAGTAACTTATATTTTCAAGAAAATAGTCTTCTATGTTTATCCCAATATTTACCATTTCTATTGCTCTTCTTCCTTTAGATTTTCCTGTAGTATTATTTCCCTTTAGCCTGAAGAATGTTAATTCTTTAAGAGCAAGTCAGTTCTTTAAAGAATGTCAATTCTTTAAAACCAGTTCTCCCAATTGTCCTTCATCTGAGAATATTTTTATTTTGCCTTCATTCCTAAATGATATAGAATTCTCAGTTGTTGGTTCTTTTCTTTAAGCACTTTAAAGACATTTTCCATTGTCTTCTGATCTCTGATTAGAAATTCAGGGGTATTTGAATCTCTGGTTTCTTTTGAGATTGCTTTTCTTTATATTTGTTTTTCAGCAGAATATTTGGTCTTTCCAGCTTTACTGACATATTCTTGACATACATGCAAATTTAAGTTGTGCAGTTTGATACAAATTGATTGCCATGAATTGCAAAATGATTACTATTATAAGGATAAACACCTTCATCCCCTCACATAATTACATTTTTTTTGTGTGTGTAGTGATAGCATTTAAGATCTATTCTCT